GTCAGCAGACTCCTCAACGGGGACAACCGACGGGAGGGGAGTGACGTGGGAGACACCAGACGGGGCAGGACGAGGCGGGAGAGGGGCAGGGGCTACCGGGGGAGAGGGAGCAAGGAAAAGGGGGGGGCAACTGGGAGACCTCGGTGAGGGAAGCGGCGGTAGAAGGAGACGGACTCGTCAAAGGTGACGTCACGAGAGTGGAGGAAGCGGTGAGACGGCGGGTGGTAGAAAAGCCAGTCAGACGAGTCCAGGGGGAAACCGAGGAAGACACAGGGGACAGTGCGGGCAGTGAGCTTGTCCGTGCCAGAGGCACGAACGTGAGCAAGGCAGCCCCAGACGTGGAACGCAGACGCGTCACCGGGGGACCCGGTCCAAAGGAGGGTCGGCGAAACCTGCGGCCGCTGGGAGCGTGGCCACAGGTTAAGCTGGTGAGCCGCGTAGCGAACAGCGAACGGCCACAGAAAATGGGGGGCATCGGCATGGATCATGGAGGTACGGGCGACCTCCATGACCAAGCCGATGCGGCGCTCAGCAACCCCATTCTGCTGTGGCGAGTCCGGCAAGGTGTACGACTGGGTGATGCCCTCCGCACGACAGAACTGTCCAAGCCGACCAGAGGCGAACTCGCCGCCACGGTCGGAGTGGAGACACAACACGGGGAGACCGCGGTGGAGACGCGCAGCTACAACCCACGGGAGAAGAACGTCGGGCACGTCGGCCTTCCGCTCCAGGGGAAACACCGTGGTGTAGCGCGTGTAGTCGTCAACGAGCACAAGGAAGTAGCGCTCACCGCGCGGTCCGGGGACGGGGGCAGGGCCCCAAACGTCCAAGTGCAGGGTCTGAAGGGGGGCAGTAGCAGGACGCAGCGAGGAGGAGTGAGGAGCACGGCGGAGCCGACCCTCGACGCAAGGCGTGCACGGTGGCGCAGTCGAGGGAGGAAGGGCAGGGAGCGACGCGGGGAGACCTAAGACAAGACCGTGCTGGGACATGTGACGCAGACGCGGGAGAGCAGGGTGACCTAAGCGGTGGTGCCAGAGAAGGGAGGGGTGAGTGAGGGACCGACACGAGCAAGCTGCAGCGACCTGGGAGGACGCACCAACCGGGGGGGAAGCGGTGTGTAGGGTAAACAGACCGGACACCGGGTCCCGGGGGAACGTCGCAAGGGGGGAACCTGAGACAGCCTCAGAACAGACAGCGAACCGCTCGTGCCCGGGGAACGTGGTGGTGACGCCGAGGTCCTGGAGACAGCCGACACCAACCAGGTTCCTGGAGAACGAGGGAACGTGGAGGCCAGTAAGGGAGCCCGAGGGAACTGCCGGACAGGGAAGGGACGTAGAACTGCGCGCGACGACCGGACCCGCAGAGGGGTCAGCGAGAGAGACAACAGCAGGTGCAGCAAGCGGCGTGAGCGTGGAACGGTCGCGGAAGAAGCAGGCAGAAGCACCAGAGTCGAGAGTGAAGGACAGCGACGCAGTGGCGGAGGCCGGGGACGGAGCCGGTGCAGCGACTAGACTAGGCAACCTAGGCAGTCCTACGCCTGTCGCAGCAGGGGAAGCTAAGCTACACAAGGGTGAAACACCTAAACTAGAGTACACAGGGTAGTAAGATCCAGCAACACTAGAAGCGTCAGCATACAAAGCATGCAAAGCAGCACCTATCTGATCCATGTCTAACTCAAAGATCGGCACGCCCTGGCGGAAACAGCGGGCGGTCGGGTGCGGGCGGCGGCACAGAGTGCCGCGGAGAGGCCCGGTCTGAAGCTGGTACTGGCAGGTCACAGCACTGGAGCCGCTGGTAGACGCCAAGCTGCGCGGGCCGCCACCACGGCCACCGCCTCCGGAGGTGCCGGGCCAACCAGGCGGGAGACGAGCCCACGGCTGCGGCGGGTGCTGCTGGGACGGCGGCTGCGGCTGGGGCTGGTCCTGCTGCTGCTGGGACTGCTGCTCCTGCCCACCGGTGGTAGTCCCCTCAGGCGGACTACCGTCACCACCACCACGACCACTACCACCTGCGTCACCACCCCTACCTCCCTGGCGGCCACGGCCACCGCGACGCGAGCGCTGCTGCGGGTGGACAGCAGCAGCCGTCTCGGTAAGAGGGGTCGCCGTGGCGACCGCAGCCGAAACGTCAGTGAACGTGCACGGGGATGGGGCACAACCGTGAAAGATAGAGACTGCCGGCGCACCGCTCGACTGAGCGATAGTGCGCTGGCGAGTCTCGATCTCAGTGAGGGTGTCGACAAAGGCGGTCAGGGTGAGGTCACCCGGGTGCTGGCTAAGAAAGTGGTCGCGAGCACTAGCGAGGCGGTCTGGCAGGCGCATAGCGATAAAATAGAGCGTCATGCAGAAAGGAGGGGGAGCGCAGTGAGCTGGGCAGCAGTGCTGGCAGTGCGATAGCGAGTCTCTAGGGCACGCAAATGAGTGGCAAAATCTGCGACAGTAGGGAAGGCAGCCAGGTCTGGGAACAGCATCGGAAAGAGCAAGCGGCCAGCAGAAGCGGAGGCAGGGGTGGAATAGCGAGCAATAACGGCGTCTAAATAAGTTTTGGCCGTTTCAACAGTAGCAAAACGCGAGCGCTCAGACACAGGGAGGGCGTGACTAATAGCAACCTGAGCTACTGCATCGCGTGAGTCCCAGACCGCACAGGCTAGCGCAGCAGTAGAGAAAGCCTCACGGTCATCAGAGGAGGGGTCAGCAGGGAGGGGAGTAGGTGCAGGGGGACGGGGGAGCAAGCCATCAGCATGGACAACCAGAGAGTGGCCATCCTGGCGCTGACCTGTAAGCTGGCGGCGAAGATCGGAGAGCCAGGCGGCGAAGTCAACCGCGTGGCCCTCAGCGTCCAGGCGGAGCACAAAGTCAGCCATCGTGCAGGGTCAGCGGCACAGCTCCTCAGCGACACAGCGGCACAGCAGCACAGCTCCTCAGCGGCACAGGAGCACAGCGGCGCGGGGACACGGCGGCAGCACTCTCCAGTAGGGCAGCAGCTAGGCGTCCCAGCGCAGGCAAGCAGAAGACACAGGGCCCGAGAGGACACGGCAGGCCGAGCAGGGGAGGCGGGCAGGTGCTCTAGGGCCGGGCTGGTGCTGGGAGGGGCCAGGCTGGTGCTGCTGGGGCCGGTCGGGCACGAGGAGGGGCCGGGCAGCGCTGAGGAGAGGCCGGGCGGCGCTAGGAAGGGGCCGGGCGGCACTAGGAGGAGGCCGGGCGGCACTAGGAGGAGGCCGGGCGGCACTAGGAGGAGGCCGAGCGGCACTAGGAGGAGGCCAGGCGGGCGAGCGCTAACAGCAGGCGCGACAGGGGCCAGCGGGCGCGACGGGGCCTAAGGGGCGCGACGGGGCCCAGCGGGCACGACGGGGCCCAGGGGGGCGCGACGGGGCCGCGGAGGCGCGACGGGGACCAGCGGGCACGACGGGGCCCAGGGGGGCCGCGACGGGGCCTAACGGGCGCGACGGGGCCCAGGGGGGGCGCGACGGGGCCTAGCAGGCGCGACGGGGCCTAGGAAGCGCGAAGGGGCCCAGCGGGCGCGACGGGGCCTAGGAGGGGCGCGACGGGGCCGAACGGGCGCGACGGGGCCCAGAGAGGGGGGACGCGACGGGGCTTAGGAGGCGTGACGATGCCTAGGAGGCACGACGGGGCTCAGCGGGCTCGACGGGGCCCATGGGGGGCGCGACGGGGCCTAGGAGGCGCAACGGGGCCCAGTGGGGGCGCGTTAGGGCCTAGGGGTCGCGACGGGACCCAGTGGGCGCGACGGGGCCCAGGGGGAGCGCGACGGGGCCTAGGAGGCGCGACGGGGCCCAGCGGGCACGACGGGGCCCAGGGGGGGCGCGACGGGGCCTAACGAGCGCGACGGGGCCCAGGGGGGGCGCGACGGGGCCTAGGGGGCGCGACGGGGCCTAGGAGGCGCGACGGGCGGAAGCGGTAGGCGGGGGGATCCTAACCTAAGCGTGATACCATGTTAACGTAGAAAACGAATGATTACTAGAGGTGGAAACCTAGAACAAATACTAGTTGGTTGTACTCACTAGAAGCATACCTCAGTCTAGCCTATAACTTCTACATAGATAATATGTATAAGTTGACATAGTCCTCATAGAATTCGTGATGCCCAGGTTACGTCGATTCAAAATCTCGTCAAGTACTGCAACTCAGGGATTATTCGTCACGTTTGGCAGAATACTTCGTGGCTAACTTTATAAGTTTTTCCACGGTCAAGATTACCAGAAACAAATTCAGATGATCCTGCACATTGAATTGGGAAACAGAATGACTTGCCATAGAGTGTGCCACATGCGAGGAATGCGCCCTCACCATCCAGCCTCGTCAAACGCCGTCATAACCGTTTGATGGAAATCGAACTGCAGTTTTTTTCATGCAACTTTTCGTTTCTTGTCGTTGACTTCATCAGAGTTTTCAGGGGCTTCATTCGCTTTAAGCTGAACGCCCATCCGGTCTCAGCAAAATTCTGTCTGACAGTCAAACGAAGAAAATTTTCCTGGTCTGATTACCTCGTGCGCTACAGTTGACGCAAACTCGGCCACTCGTGCCTCAACCCATCACAACGCGTGAAGCCAAGTGTGCTGCTGCTGCTGTTTAGAGTGACTTCTGAGATGTCAAGCGTTTGAGAATTTACCCTGAGGCCAAAGTATAGAGCGGAGAACCACCCTGAGGAATCAGTCTGAACATAAGCCACCAACCCTGACTGCTACACGTTTTTTTGGGGGCCCGCCCTGATTGATCAGTATGCCTAAAATCCTATCTGAGGCCCTGGTTGCTCTACTGGTACATTCAGCTGGGTTGAGCAAGCTGCGTGCGAGTGTTTTGTTTTCCCGCCATCTCACTTGTGCAACTTTTACAGTCGCAGCGTAGGTCGCATGCACGTTTCCGGTCAGCTTTTTGACGCGCAAGTCGTTTCGCCACTTTCTGGTTTGATCCTAAATCTGAATCTATGTTTGAGTTCCACAAGCTACAAAGTAGGATGGCATCACTTTCAAGTGGAAATTAATAGCTTGTTTTGAATGCTATTTTAGCCACGGGCTTTAAGGAAAGAGTCTTCCGGATTCTTACGGTAATTATGCTCGGCAGCTCGGGTGTTGTTGTACAACTACAACCGTAAGCAGTACGCCTTACTTTTCCCCTAGCCCTTCCATTCGGTTTTCCAGCCGACTGTCAAACTACTCTACAACCTGCATTATTGATATGCAAAATGTACATCAGTAATCTACAGTAGAAATTCTGAATATTAGATGCCTTGTCCAATGTGACCTCGAATACTCGAGCAACTGTAGAGTTGACCCAAACTGGCTACTGGGGCAGCATGATGAGTGTCTACTTCAACAACACCCTCCTCTCTGAGCGGAAGCATCGTTTCGTCCTCCTGCCCCTTGAGCCCCACCAGTACCATAGCCCACCTTGATACCATATGTCTGCATCAACAGCAAAACGATGGAGTGAGCACACACATGCCAGGGTTGTGCTGTGCCAAAAAAAAGAAGGGACCCACCTCATTGGAAACATCAAAAACGCCTTCTTGAATCTTCTGATAAATTTTTGCAGCTGTATTTATAAAAGCCTTTGGAGAAACAGAGGAGGCAACGCACAGAGAAAAACATCAATTGTTTATGCGTTGCAACTCATAACCAGTAAGGCGTTAACGGTAGTTGCTCGTTCAGTGGCGCAAGAGTATTAGCAGAAAACGCGTGAGGGAAACGAAAAATACGCACTGTATTCGCAGAAAACGTGTGAGGGAAAATGGCACAGAGGGATGCAGCAGCAGAATTCACAGCGCGGACGACATAGGAGTGGTAATGTGGGGAGGATGGGGAGGGTGGGGAGGGTGGGGAGGCAGAGGAGAGAAGAAGAGGAACAGGACTTTACCTCCTCGACGTTATGAGCAGTCTTAGCTGAAGTCTCCATGAACACAAGTCCATTCTCCTTCGCGAACTGCTCCCCTTCCTGAGTGCTGACTGCTCGGCGATGGGCCAAATCGCTCTTGTTTCCGATGAGCATGATCGTCATATTGGAGTTCGCATGCTGCCGCGCGTCTTCAAGCCAACTCGTCAAGTGGTTAAAAGTTTCTCTCCTGTGCAACAGAACAAAAAGGGGCTGTGAAACACTCCGCAGAAATCAAGCTATGGCGGCAGCGCAGAAACTAAAACACACTACCTCGTGATATCGTAAACCAGAAGTGCTCCGGCTGCACCGCGGTAGTACGACCTTGTGATGGACCGAAACGACTCTTGCCCAGCCTGAAGACGCAACGAATCAAACGCGTTACGAACCGCGGAAAGGCTTTCCATTATAATAAGAAAACAAGTCACTCACGGTATCCCAGATCTGCAACTTGATTGGCTTCCCTTCAATGGTAATCATGCGTGCGCCAAACTCCACCCCAATTGTCAAGTCATGCACCGGTTGGAACCGTTTGTCTGTGAACTGAAGCAGCAGACATGATTTTCCTACACCTGCCAATAAGGGCAGGAAAAGGGAGAGGGGGGAGTGGGTGTGCCGGAGGATGAGGGAGGGGGAGATGGGGGGGGAGGGGAAGGAGGGGAGGGGAGGGGAGTGGGGGAGTGGGGGAGGGGTGAAGAGCGACAAGCGACATCTAAAACCAAATCCTAACGCAAACGAAAAATAATGAATTAGCAATAAGATCAAACGTAGAGGAGATACCTGTGTCTCCAATGATGATGTACTTGAACAAATACGCGTAGGACATCCCGACACAGCTTCGACTCAGTCACTCCAAAGGAAAGCGCAAAAGGTTTTCGCAAGAAAGACTACGTATGCACGACGATGTTCACTAGCTGAAGAATGAAACAGAATTTGAAGTATTCGGACGAAATGTGGAAGTGCTGGGGAAGGTTAGGTTTCGATGGAGGGGATGACAGGGAAGAGCTCGGTTCGGCCTACTGAAAGCCACTGGGTTCCACCGGGGGGAAGTGGAAATGGGGACAGCTTGCTGTGTTAGGGGGTGTTCCGAAGTAAAGCGTAAGGTTTCAGGACATCACAGAAACGAGATTTTATGCTCTTCTACCGTTATTAAAAAAACAAATACAGGTCATATGCAGGGCTTCAGATTGGATTTTGAGGGGCTGTTGGCTCAGGGTGCCCCCAGAAGGAGCCCCCGTTTTTCAGGGTCGGGTTTTGGAAGTTGCAAAAATTTTCAGGGTAAATTTTTTCGAAAGCTGAAAAATCAGGACTGAAATTTTTCATAGCTGAGATGACAGGTTGAACCTTGGCGATTTTTTAGGATGGGTAGGATTTTAACCTAGCACATTACTGTATGTTAGACAGGGCATGTTTTGTCAGACCAAAAGAAAAAATAGCCTTACTCATCAGATACATTTTTTTGGTTTCTGAATCTGATCCTTAGATCAGATTGGACTTCACTGCGTACATACAAATTCTCACACTACTAGCGTGATTGTTGGAAATACCTCAAGGACTTAAGTATTTCTGAAGTGTAACACCACACTCGAGAAAGATCGTAACGGGTATGCGAGTCAACGGAGGTTACACGAGGGGATGGACAAAGAACACGAAAGGACTCGAAGGGTCGCAACTGGAGGTTGCGACTGACCGTTACAACTGCAAGGATGGTAACCGAAGTGACAATCGAGTCGCTGTGCGACTCGATAACCGCTCTTCAACTGTATTCTACAACTGCTTTACTTTCCTGCTTTCTATATATTGCTGTATGCTTGTTCTTTTAATCAATCACTTGTCCTCACATACTAGTACAAGGGTTCAACTTCTCAACTTCCGCTGCACTACTCAAGTCTCCTTTTACAACTGGGACTTAGTCTCTGGAAAGATCCTAAGGGCATTTCTCAGCCCAACATGGTATGAGAGCTGGTCAGAGACCAAACTCCCAGCAACTACGTTCTATCTGCAATCAACACATCAACGACTTCATTGATTACAGGTCATGGACAGCAAGGGCAAGAAAACCTCTACGGGCTCACCCAGCGCCCAAGACAATCAACCCGGCAACTCTGGATTGCACACTTCAGGACTGCAAACCGAGACCGGCGCTGCTCAAGAAACGACAGGAAGAGCACCGGAAATGGTGACCCCATCACCCTCTTCAAGCGTGGACCCGAACCTTATGGAAAGGTTCTTCAGCTTCATGTCGCACTTCGACCAGTAGCAGCAGACAAGGACACCTGCGCATTCAACACAGAGCAACGGAGGAAACATGGGATTAGCGCCGATGAGCCTCGACAACTCATCGTTCGGGCGACACAATCAAGCGCCTACCTTTGCGCCTTATCACTCTTCACCGGGGACGTTCGAGTTCATGCCGCCCCGTGCCCAACCAACAGCAGCTGCATCACAACAGACACCAAACGAGATTTTAAGTCTTCAGGCGCAGTTTTCACATGTGATTAAACTGCAGACATCCTCACCGTTCAACGGACACGACTTCTTTACCTGGAGTTTTGAGTTCGAGCTGCTGATGGAGGCTGCGCATCTCTTGGGATACTTCAACGGGTCCCTGCCATTCCCAAGCAACGGCACTGCAAAAGAGCAAGAAATTTTCACGTATCAATCGCTGCTGGCGTACACAGTTCTCCTGCGGAACCTGTCACCACAAGAACAGCAAAGCATCAGAACGTATCGGAGCTATGGAAACTCCGCGGAACTCGCATGGCATCACCTCAAGTGTCTCTATCAAGCAAACGACAGTGTGACACAAAGCAGACTCATGCAGCAGCTGCCAACAATACAGATGAAGACCGGGGAAAATGCGATGCAGTATATGAGTCGATGCCAGACACTCCGCGACCGCCTGCTTCGGTGCGGAGGAACAATCACTGAAGAAAGCTTCGTGACGCTTGTCCTTGCTGGGCTCGGGCCAGAATGGAGAACCACCCGCTCGCTCCTTCGCGCCCACGGACGAATCTCGGGTATGCACCTCTGCGCCGAGCTCCATGCTGAACAACAGGAGATGGACCTGTTCGAAGAAAGGCAACCAAGGAAACAGCAACCATTAGTCTTCAACACTCAACGAAGGAACGACAACAACTACAACCGACGCGGCAAGCAAGATCAACGCGACAACAGAGGACTCACCATTGTGCCGCCATTCTGCCACAACTGTCAAACATCCGGACACTCCAAATTCAACTGCACACGTCCCCGAGCTTACCGTCCAGTAGACCCACAAGTCGCTTCCACTCAAGACAGCCCACCGAGACGTTCATCCTCATCCGCACAAGGTACACCGAACATCATCAACTGCATGGTACACATCGACAGCTGCGCCAGACGAAGAAGAACTACCGCCGCCGCGCTCACAAGGACTTCAGGTCAACCCGACATACGCTGCGGTCGCCAACGCCGAACCCACCGGACGAAACACCTGGTTCTTGGACAGCTGCTGCGATCAACACATGTGTTCTTCCGGGCGCTTCGTACAACGAGAGCGACGCCTCAACCGTGATGTCATCATCACCGTCGCCAACAACGAGAACCTGAAAACAAACAGACAAGGAGTGGTTCAGTTACAGTCCATGGAGACAAACGTTATACTGCAGCTCAACAATGTTCTCATCGTCGACAACTTGGGATACAACTTACTCAGCGTCAGCCAATTAATGGCAAAAGGGATTCACCTCGAGTGCGACTCGGACTCCAACGAATTTCGCCTTTACCACGGGAAGGGCGGTCTCTTCATCGGTCGCGCTCTCCTGAAGTCAGGCGTCTTCGTGTTGGATTTCGTCCCCGACCGCGGTACTGCCGACAGCGATGGCATCGTGTCGTTCGCCGTTTGGACGCACCCGCCGGATCTTGACCCCGACCTCACCCCAGAAGGATTCTGGTACTCAAACACCATACCTGCAGCAGAAAGGACACGAGCGTTAGCAGTCATCAGACAAGAAAGACAAGTACCAGCAAGCGTCCTTTCCCAAACATCACCTGCAGTAGCAGCAGCAGGACCCAGCCGAGTACCATCACCAGCCATCCGAGGACTGCCAACCGAAGCAGATCAACTTATGCCCATCACACGAGAAGTCTGCAGAAGTCCCGCCACGGTCGTCGCGTTCTTCTCCAACACCGACATGTACCAATGCTCGCCCGGCCATCGCGCCTCCGACGACATCTGGCACCAACGCCTTGGGCATCCTGCAAACAGCACGGTACTACAAACCATCCAAGCCGAAGTGTTAGAACGAAACGCTCTTCTTACAACAAGCGGCCAAGAACTTCGACGACCTCGCGCACGGTGCTTCACGTGCCCCGAAGCAGATCTTCCCCACCAACCTTTTCCATCACATCACAATCCAAGTGCACCTGCATACGAACCGATGGAAAAAGTTTACAGCGACATCTTAAACATGCCTCGAGATGACACTGAAGCCGACTTCAACTATGTCATCACGTTCATCGATGTAGCAACAAGATATGTCTGGCACTACAACCTCAAGACGCGCGATCAAGCTTTCAAAGCCTTCACGATGTGGCTCCCCATTGCTGAACGAGAATCAGGAACCAAACTCAAGAGCTTCCAGTCAGACGGCGCACTGGAAAACCAGTCACAACGACTCAGGACCTACTTGGCAGAAAGAGGAATCAGACGCCTGGTGTCCCTGCCCTACGCTCACCAGCAGCAGGGGGTCGCAGAGAGAATGAACCGGACCTTGCAGACGACGACGCGGAAGCTGCTCTTGGGGATGGGACTGCCCAACACACTGTGGCCAGACGCGATGACCCATGCAGTCCACCTGCACAATTTGCTATCCTCGTCATCGCTTCCCAACAACGCATCACCGCACCTGCTGTGGACACAAAAAAGGGGCAGCACAAAATTACTTCGGGTTTTCGGCTGCATGGTACAGTACCGACCCCACACAGCCCGAGCAGGACGCTTCACTCAACGAGCACGGTGGGGACTACACCTCGGCATCGCAAAACATTTTCAAGCATGGAAAATCCTCGACATACAAAACAAAAATACCGTGGCATCACGTGATGTGATCTTCTACGAACGACTGACGCTGCAGCATTACCTGGACAACGTTGCCAACACAGACGACCCCACCGACGGCTTTTCGGGCCTTCGTTCCTTTGCTGACCGTGCTGCCGAAGCTGACGCAGCCGAAGAAGACGTACCTGGAGCTTCGGAAGCTGCCGGACCACTCCCTTACTGTTCCGTGCCTGTTCCACTCGACGAAGATAGTCCTCTCGATAGCAACAACCTCGACACCCTTTACCACTTCGCTGACCAAGGTTACGTTACACCTCACCCGGTCGACACAAATGTCTCAGAACGCATCGGCCCAAACTTCTTACCTGATCCAGAAGATGGTGACGAAGCAGCCTATTTGGGGAATGAAAATTCCCCTCGACACACACCCACGGGACTGCAGATACTCGGCTTATGGGTCTCCGTCCAGCATCCGCCGCCGCCGTCTCCGCGCGAGCCAACGACCCTGTCGCAGGCTCTGGGGGGGGGAACACAAGGCCAAATGGAAAGAAGCAATGGAAAAGGAACTGAAAGCTCTGCAAGACCGAAATACATGGAAGCTGGTACCTGCAACGAACATCAACGGGAAGAACGTTCTCTCAGGAAAGTGGGTGTACCGCATCAAGACCAATGCGGACGGCTCCATCGAACGATTCAAGGCTCGCTGGGTCGTACGAGGATTCGATCAATGATACAGAACTGACTACACAGAAACATTCGCCCCAGTCTCCCGTCACACCTCCTTGCGCATCCTACTCGCCGTCGCGGCCACGAAGAAACTACCACTGCGCCAGATTGACGTCGCAAACGCTTTCCTGTACGCACCTGTGGATGCCGAGATCTTCGTCGAGCAGCCCCACGGATTCATCGCCGACCCCACAAAAGTATGCCAGCTGATAAAATCCCTTCACGGGATCAAGCAAGCCCCGAGGCT